TTAATAAAATTTAAATATACTTACGTTTTGATTGGCTATTTATGTGTCATGTGACCTGTGACAAAAGTGTTATGTAACGGGGAGCAACAAATAAATTTATCCAATAAAAATATATAACGAAAACATGAAATAAAATAATTGTCTCCAAAAAAAGGTAGTGATCTAAATTTTAGTCAAGTATAGAAAATCAATATACATTCATGTTATTTTCAGTTCATTACTTGGTTGCTGAATATATTAAATACATAATGAATAAGCATCCAGAAATTTGAGTAGCCTCGAATGCCATCTATTCAGCTGGCGAAATACTGATATTTAATATGTTCAACAACCAAATAACGAGACTGTTTTCCTTTCTTCAGCAGCAATAACAGCAATAAGTTAATCATCTTATGTAAATTCTCAGAGAATAAATTTTTATGAGTTTTAGCAATCCCTTACAGGTTTTTGAACACTTGCAAAGGATTGAACCTTAAAATCTATAAACTCTAAATCATTTAAGAGAATTTACCGAATATAATTTACTGCTATGAACTATGTAATAGAAAAGAAAGTACTTACTTATTGAAGATAAGAGCAGTCTTTTTCATGATTACTACAATATTCGCACGATTTCTCTCTGATCTTACCTCCAACGCATCTTTTTTTCCAGCCACGGCAAATATCACATGCAGCTGCTTTTCTTTTCCTTTCTTCTTTCATTTCCAGAGACGACGAAGAGTTTTGTAAAGACTCTAGAAACTTGTCATGGTAAAGAAAGAAATCGTCTCCAAGTATGTCCCTGAGGTAAACAAGGAAAGCATTGGCTGTCTTCTGTTGAGACACCTCTTTCTTGAGATGATACTCTTTTTTATTGAGCTGAGACTCTCTTTTATTGATTTGGAACTCTCTTTCATTGAGCAGAAATTCTCTTTTACTGAGCAGGGACTCTCTTTCATTGCATTGAGACTCTTTTTCATTGTGCTTAGGCTCTTTTTCTTCGAGAAGGGAAATAGATTTGGCATTATAGGCAAACTCATTATATTGTTCATTATGATTCTCTAAGAGAAGCTAAAAGATAAAGAGGTCATATAATCAGTTCCTGACATCCTTATAAAGAGGTCACGTGAATAATCAATTATCCTGATCACATTATCAAGGTCAATGACAATTACAGGCATTTTTTTTTGCATAAAATTTTTGAATTTGACATCAAGTGCGTCGTTTTTCTCTTATAAAATTTTGGATTTGTCCAGCTTTAAAAAAAATTAAATATCATCATAATTCTATTGAAATCACATGACCTTAAACTACGCTCAAAAATTTACCACCTCGGAATCGTAACAGTCAACAATTTTTAATCTTTTTTTTTTTTTTTGCATAATTTCCGGCTCTATGTTCTCAAAGAGAAACCGAAAATATGGGAGGCCATATGAATATTTACCTGATATCCTTCTTGATGGGTCTCTGAGTGAGTATCAGTTTCTTGATACCGTCTTTGTTGGTTCTCTAAAGAAGTAATATGATTATTTACTTGATATCCTCCTAGATGATCCTTTGGGGAAAATTAAAAAGGTGAAGTTATATTATTAGTTTCTGTCATTCTTGACGATTCATTGAGGAGAACAGAAAAGATGAATTGTTCATATGGAATTATTTACTTGATATTGTTCTTGATAGTTCTCAAAATATTGAAAATATGTTAAGTTCATATTATCAGTTTCCTGGTATTGCACTTGACGGTTGTCTGATAAAAACTGAAAAGATGAAGAGGCCATGTGTTTTAAAGCTACATAGGGTTTAAAGAAAAAGGAGTTCAAAACTTTTAATAATAACCCTTTCGCTTAACAGAAAGATGACTGAATTTGTATAACAAATCTCTAATAAACTGTTTCTAAATAATTTTTTAGGATCTGATATCAGCTTGCTATTAAAGTTTTTTTTTGTAACTGGAGCTATCGAATTGTTATAAAAGAGTCAATTATATACATAGAAAATAAATTTCGAAAGTGATAAATATGTAGCAAATGTACTGTATGCGGATTTTTAACTTTAAAAAAAGGGTATAGTAAAAAAATACAGTAGTAAAATGAAATATCTGAATTAAAACTGAATTTATGATCTTAAATACTAATTAAAAAATGTAATTATTTCGTTCATCCGTGATATTTAATTTTTATAGTTTAAGAAAAGCGAAATGTGTACGAAAAAGGCATTTTTTTTTTTAGCGTAAACTGATTTTCTTATCATGGATACTAATACAAATCTGGTTAATTTGGTCATAAGACCGAACATTGCGCATAAATTGTAAATTAAATGGGATCACATTTTAATTTAATGAATTTTTGATATGTTTAGTATATATCAGCTCTTGATCGTGAATTTATCTCTGCAGTACTAAGTATGTAAAGTTTTAATATAAATTTAAATTTAACATTTTTCCAAATTTACACTTATTAACAATTTTTTTTTAGCGTTAGCAATTTGTGTTGTTCTAAATTTTAGGCCTTACATTTAAAATATCGGATTAAATATATTATATTATTTTTTATAATATATATATATACTGGAACCATGATATTCTCTAGGAAAAACCCTTTAGCATCAATTTGTCTTTGCTGCATCTAACACGAGCCAGCTTTATGATCTATATACTAGATAGTGGTGTGAGCGCAATGCCGTAATTGGTCGTATTAATTTCACAAAAACTCAATTATATCGTGATCCAGTGATCTA